CCCCCCTCCTTTTTAGTGGGATACCATATGTACCCCATATGGTATATACAGTATTTTTTCATGGCTGCAGAGTTTTGCTTGTGGTGATGAAATGTTGGAAATCCATAATGGGTGGTGGTGGTGGCACAACATTGTGAATATAATTAATGCCACTGAATTATATACTTACAATTTTTGTATATTTACCAGTTTTTAAAAAAAGAGCCATGAAATAGTAGATTAATTGTAATATCTTGAACTGTCAATTGGCTTTTTCAGACAAGACACTGAGCCATTTTTCAGCATTTGCTACATGGTTTAAGCTTTAAAAGGGGGCAGCTTTTTTGGTTCTCTTGCTGTTTCCATGCTCTCTGACTCCCTTTTTCTTTCCTCCAACTCCGAAGGGACGCACATAGAGCGCCAGTGTACTTCTCAATGCCCCCATTGACTGAGAAGTTACGGCAAAGGTTGGAAACTTGGAAAGAAGAAGGGAAAAACAGATACTTGGAAAATTTTCCTAAACTACTCAGCCCACACCTGATCCAGCCTGATTCAAGTGAGATTTTTCTGATAAAAACAGACCTACATTACACAAAAACCAACTTTTTGCTGTGAATTAGGTGAGAGTTTACATTTCAGATTATTTTATATTCAGCAGCTTAAACAACCTCCCTAGAGCTTGTCCCTCTCCCCTTCTTCCTCGTGGAAGAGATTGTCACTCACCTTGACACCAGTCCACGCTCGGACCCCTCTCTGCCCCTCCCACCCTGCTCACTCTCAAAGGCGATTTTCTATTGAAAAAGAAACTTTAATTTGTTTTGTTTTTTCTTTTAAAACAGCAAAAGGGACCGAATTTAAGGTTGTGTCATTCACATACATATTAGGATAGTGCCAAGACTTCAAATTTCAGGCAAACTACTAAGCTCTTTTATGGGTTGACTAGTTTTCCTGTAATTATTTTATGATACATGCACTTAGAGAGACTCATGTAGGCAGCCTATTAAAGAATAAAAAGAAGTCAGGATACCTGGATCCTAGGTCCAGCTTTATCTTGAATTGGCTAATGATTTCACTATTCTGGAACACGATTCCTTTAACTGAACTATGGATTTCAGGGTCTCTAGGCTCTGGATGATATAAAGGTTAATACAATTGGCTGCTAACGGAAAGATTGGAGGTTTAAGTTTGCCCCACGGTGCCTAGAAAGAAAGCCCTGGCAGTCTACTTCCTAAAAACCACCTACTGAAAATCCTATGCAGCGCTGTTCAGTTTTCACACATGTGTGCTTGCTGTGAGGTAGAATCAACAACCATTAGACTGCACTGTCTGAAGGCCCTATTTGTTCTAAAGCAGGGGTCAGTTCACTGTCCCTCAGACCCATTGGGCTGGACTATGGTTTTAAAAAAATCTATGAGCAAATTCCTATGCACACTGCACATATCTTATTTTGAAGTCAAAAAACAAACGGGGCAGAAACACCCGGTGGGCCGGTTATATGTCCTCGGTAGGCTGCATGTGGCCCGCGGGCCGTAGTTTGAGGACCCCTGCTCCAAAGCCTTATAAACTTGGGAAACTGCCAATCAGTTACTTGATCATTAAAAATGAACTTTCTCCTTTTGAAATATATGCAAGGGGCCGGGAACAGAGAATTGTGCCTACCTAGCCTTTAGAACTCTTGAGAATCAGGTTGATTTTTCTGCTGACATGAGTGCATGTGGTTTCCAATTGTGTTAAGTATTAAAGGCAGACTACTCACACAGCACACACAATATTCACAATAGGATGTCAAGCTCAACTTTTTAATGGCCTATAGTTCTTAGGAAAATGCATAACCAAATTAATAGTGATGTATCTGTTGAAGCTATCATATATTTAAAAAAATGACTTGGGATACCTATACCAATTCTGCTTCACTAACATAGCAGAGACAGCCTGTTTCCAAATGTGATCTGTGATGGTGAGAGTTTATGTCAACTGGACATATCTGGGTGAAGATGGGGGTGGAGCCCAACCTGTCAACCAAGTCGCAGCCTGATGACACCCCCTTAGGGGTGTGGCCTTTGTATAAGAGCTGAACCAAGCTCTCTCTTGCTCCTTTGCCTATAACTGAATTTTGATCCTTCATCTGGTTATTCCGTCTGTTGTATTGTCTGCTGATCCCAGGAGCTGATAGGCTGCCGACCCTGGATTCATTTGGCTGACCTTGGATTCATTCAGCTCTGCATCCACCAGCTTCTGGCTGCCGGCTTCACTTTCCTGCTTTGTGTTCGTCAGCTCCTGCAGCTGTAGGGGTTAGGAACAGCCTCCAGCTTACATCTGACCCACGAACCTGAACCAGTCTGCACTCACTACTTCTACAACTTTGCTAGCCATTGCTTGGTATAAATCTCTTTCTATATACAGACACACACAAGCATCACTGGTTTGGCTTCGCTAGAGAACCCAACCTGACACATCTGGGACCTGGAGTGGTTCTAGGAAACAAAATCATGAAGGTGCGTTTTCTAAATTGGTTCTCAAGTCTCATTAGGCCTAAAAAACAAACAAAACTCACTACCATTGACTGGAAAATTCTGTCTGTACTGTATGTGTGTAGATAAGTCTGTCTGGTGAAGAGGGCATTGTTAATCCGTGGTATGAAGTGATAAAGCTAATACCCCAATAGATGAAGTATTGGTGAGAAGTGAGGTGAGGCTCTGGGTGATCACCTGTTGATATCTTTCTATGATTCTGTCGGGATAACTATAGGGAGGACTGTTAGTTAGTACTCTTTACAACAGACAAACAGGTAAAGGAGAAAGGAGAACTTAGCTTTGGAAGCCCATCTTCAGTGCTACTTGGGCCATGGAAGAAACCCTTATCTCTTCTAGTAACAGAAGTGATCATGTTGAAAACCAAACCCAGGGTCTTACAATAGGAATAGCTGAATTACAATGCCAGCAAATTCTCAACCTAACAAGGTGTGTGATATTAAAGTGAGAGCACTCGTGGGAAGGAAATGGGATCCTGAAACGTCATATGGGAACATATGGGCTGCTAATACAGAAGATGAAGACATTGAGCCCCAAGATGACATTGAGCCCCAAGATTCAATTGAGCCACGGTAGCTACCAGAAACAACCCTTCCATCTGAAGAGGTTAATCCGGTCTCTGTAAAACTTGTACATGGGTCAAGGGGCAGTTGTGCAGACACAGTGTGGAAATACTGCCTGGTTTATAATCAGAGAAGGTCTATGTCAGTGTCGTAGCCTCCCACCATACTTGTTCAATCTGTGTGCTGAGCAAACCATCAGTGAAACTGGCTTATATGAAGAAGAATGTGGCATCAGGACTGGAGGAAGGATTAAAAACCTGTGATATGCAGGTGACATAACCTTGCTTGTTGAACATGAGGAGGACTTGAAGCACTTGCTGATGATGATCAAGGATTGTAGCCTTCAGTATGAATTACAACGCAATGTAAAGAACAAAATTCACACAACTGGGCCACTAAGTAACATGATAAATGGAGGAAAAAGTTAAAGTTGTCAAGGATTTTGTCTTACTTTGATCCAGAATCAATGATCTTGGAAGTAGCACTTGGGATATGAAACGACAAGTTGCAGTATATAAATCTGCTGCAAAAGACCTCTTTAAAAAAACAACACAGAAGACCTCTATAGAGTACTGAAAAGCAGGGATTTTACTTTTGAAGACTGAGGTATGTCTGCCCCAAGCCATGGTCTTTTTCCATTGCCTCATATGCTTATGAAAGTTGGACATTAAATTAGGAAGACTGAAGAATTGATGCATTTGAATTATGGTACTGGAGAAGAATTAAAGTGCCATCAGCTACTAAAAGGACAAAGTGATCTTTGGAGCTCCTTAGAGGCAAGGATGGCAGGATTTCATCTTGTGTTCTTTGGGCATGTTGTCAGATGTCAGCGTGCCCTGGGGAAGGACATCATGCTGGGTAAAGTGGAGGGGCAGCACAAAAAAGGAAGACCCTCAGCGAGATGGATTGATACAGTAGCTGCAGCAATGGGTTCAAGCCTAGGAACAATTGCAAAGATGCTGCAGGACCGTGCAAAGCTTCATCTTGTGCCGAGAGTTGCTATGGATCGGAAGCTATCCATTGGCACTTAACAGCTGTCAGACCATTATCCCCACACCCACACTTGAGGAAATTAGGCCAACTATGCATGACTATACCTGGAGCGTTGCCTGAGGCGCATGTGTTGCAAGATATTCTTGCGAGGTGCTCCTAAGAAACACCTTCCCCATACCTATAACTAGACTTAAGTCACAGCAAGTCCACAGAGGTGAAATCCAGATGGAGACTCATGAAGCGGTATGTTTTACTCCTAAAGAACTGCTAGAGTGTTCTAATATGTACAGACAGAAACCTGGAAAAAATTGTTAAGGTTATGGAATAATGGTGCAAGTATCTTAAGCTTGGATCAGTCTGAGTTTATTGATATGGGCTCACTAAGCAGAGATTTTCATTCAGTGTTTCAGCTCAAGAGGTTAGGAAAGGATCTAATAGTTTGTTTGGGTAGTGCACTGAGGCTGACTGTGAGATGGCCTACATGAAGTCAAATTGAAGTACCAGACCTACCTTGGTATACCATAGAAGAAGGCATCCAAAGGCATAGGGAAATTGGCATGTTAAAGTGGACTTATCAGGAAAAACCCCATAGACTTACAAAGAGAGTGCCCTGAGGACACACCTTTTACCAAAACAGTAAGAAACACATTTGTGAAGGGAGCCCCAGCATCTCTGAAGACTCCCGTGATTGTTCTTTGATGTCAGCCAGACTTGACAGTGGGAAATGCCTTCGTTGGAGTAAGACATTTGCCTGAAATGGGGCTGACTGGGCCGGTGTGAGTAGGGGCCAAGTGGTAGCACTCAATTGACCAAGGAAATGTGGGTGTGGTTACTGTAATAAGCAACCAGTCAAAGTAGTAAGAATAGCTTGACTAGTATAAATCTGTGGTGTTGGCTACTTCAGCAGGGTATCCCTAAGAGTGAAGCCTACAAAATGGTAACTTGATCTACACAAATAGAAAAATTCTAGATCAAGTGAATTCTAATCTAACTTGAATTGCCAGTATAGAGAGTTACTACCTTGCAATCAATTCCAAGACTTGAACGAGTTTACAGACCCACAACCCCTTGAATGAAGGAGAGGCCAGGTCCCTTTAAAGAAGGACCACATTACACTACCAAAGGTTTAGACTGATAGACTTTATCACAGCCTTTTACAAGAATGACTGTTTATTGGGAAAAATGAAATAATCAGATTTTTGAGGGATTACTGGATAGTGGCTCTGAAATGACACTAATTCCAGGTGACCCAAAACATTCTGAAAGCCCATCAGAGTGGAAACATATAGAGGTCAAGTTATTAATGGAATCTTAGCTCAAGTGGGAAATTAATCCAGCATAAATTCAGTGAGTCCCTTCCTTGAACTTCCCTTCTAGTAATTTCCCCAGTTCCAGAATGTAATATTGAACTAAACACTCAGGAATTGGCAGAACCTGAAATGTGAAATAAAGGCTATTATGGTAGGAAAAGTAAGTGAACCTATTAGAATTGCTTCTTCCCAGGAAAATAGTAAACCAAAAGTAAATTCACAT